GCCCAACCAGTTCTCTTAAGCACAATGAAAGGAATCAAACTTACCACGCAGACAGAAATACCTTCCCCTGCCGGGCGTAGCCTTAGGATGCCGGCTCCTGGTCACTTGCCCATCCCCAAGCAGCTGCTCCTGGGCTGGTTTTCCAGCCTTCCACCCAGGAGAAGCCTTTTCTTCCTGCTGCAGCTTTTGTCTCCTCTCTCTTCCCTGTCTCACCCAGGTGGTGTCTTGTCAGTTCCTAACACACTGGGCCTTCCCCATGCTAAGTGCAAGGTCTGCCTCCCCCTATGCTCTCAGCTCTGTCCCAAGTACGTGAGTGCTCGGTGCAGGGAGACTCTGTAGGGCTGGGGGATCAGAGGTCCAGGGTCTGGGTTTTGGTTCTACTTCTAATGTGCTTGGGCAACTCCCTGAGGGCTGATTTTGACAGTCTCAGTATTTGAGTGCCTGGCTTGAAAGGCCTTTGCCCTGATTTTCAGCACTGCTGGGCACACAGCTCCAACTGGAGTGATGGGCTCTGGAAGGGAATATTGGGCCCCAAAATCAGAGGCTATTTTTAGAAATCCTGGCGTTAGCTGCTCTGCGCCCCAGTTTGCTGTCCACCGGGGTAAGGACACTTCTCTCGCAAGGTAAACGGGAAGCTTCAGCTTGACTGGGGTTGGTTTGCAGACCCCTGACATGCTCAGATGTGCAACAAAGAGGCCAAATGTAGTTATGTTTCCTCAGGCCTAAATGAAAGCCAGGACCACTCCCTGTCCTCTCCCACATGCAACTCAGACTGAGAGCTCGCATGGAACAGGACACACAGCTGTTGAAACAATTACATGTGTTTCCTGACAATAAAGCAGAGCCAAAAGCAGAACTTCTGCAGAAAGACAACTAATTTGATCATAATTTGGCACAGATAAGAGGAAGCCTTGCAGAAGCAGATTCACCGCAAGGGCAAACTCTGATAACTGCACTCTGATAAATGTTTAAAAAGCCAAGGAAAAGCTTTGGAACACAATGAGCCTGACTGATTTCACACTAGCGTGAATCAGGAGTAATTCCAGTGAAATCAAAAGATTTACATTGGTGTAAAATTGGACTAAGTTAGATCAGAACCAAGCCCATTCTACTTAGATTCAACTCCGCTTATGGCAAACACCTATTGATTTTTTCCCTCCCTCTTTTATCTATTCCTGATCGGAGTGGATAAACCCTGCATTCCTTGTGCCGTAAGGAGCCCACAAAACGTAGCCTTCAATATTCCTGTTGCACCCAAGAAGGATGGTTTTGTGTCTAAATCACAGGGCTGGGAACCTTGATTTCTGGGTTCTGCTTCCTACTCTTCTGCTTTTTTGCCACTTCCCTATTCAGGGTCAGCAGCCTTTGCAGCCTACTTTCACACATTGGATTGTATGCCCGGCTGCTGTGCTAATTGCTCTAAAACCTGTTGATATTCAGTCCATGTACTGAGTCTTTGGCCTCCCTCTCAGTCATCGTCCATTCATGATCATTATAAGAACCTCCTGCCAAAAGAACTCCCATGTCTCAATGAGACGTGCCCATACCAATGTAGCTGCCTTTCCCTCAACTTGTCTTAGGTTGGAGTGCATTGAACCCCACACAGCCTTGCCTTGCCTTGCTCCTTTCCTTTCCTGGACCATCCAACCATTTCGTCATCTCAAAATCTTCATTTTGATGGGGAAGCATGCTTGTTTCTTTGCTTGGTGCTGGCCACGTCTCTGGTCTGTGCATTTGGATGGATTGATTTGCAGGTTTATACCCTCCACCTTTTAACTTCATTGGCATCCTTATGGCAGAGAACTGGAGTCAACTCCCAGCAGTTGCACCAAGTGGCCATGGTACAATGCGGGGCAGCATTAGGAGGGCACCATTGTCAGCAACCACTGACCCTAGGGTAGGTCAATTCTTTCACTATAAGGTCTGTGCCTGTGATATCCTTTATGTGGGTCCTTCTCCCTCAGCTTTCACAGCCTAAGTCTCACCAGTGTTCTGACTAAATCTCTTCTGCTAAAAACTGTGTTGCTTCTTGTAGGGTCTCGCTCAATTTTTGGCACATATCACTAAGTCATCAGTGATGTTACATGTTCCAAGGCATCCCCTTTTGTATCATGTTAGATACACACCTGGTCTAGACAGTACTGAGTGCTGCCAGGAGGGCAGGGGACTGGACTTGATGACCCCTTGAGGTCCCTTCCAGTTCTAGTGTTCTATAATTCTATGTCCAAGACAATGCTCAGCAAACACAAAGCTCAACTCTGACCCCTGGTACAGGCCAGCATTTACTGGAAATTCTCTGTGGTAGCAACATTTGGTGTTGGTTACAATAGTCACTCCATCATATGTATCCCGAAAAAATGGACACATCCTACTGGCACACCACTCAATAGCAAACTACACTAAACTAATTCTTTGTACGTGACTGTACACCTTCTCCAAGTTCACACACTCCATCTCTTCTTTGAATATCTCCATGAGGATTCATACACTATCAACTGTACTTCCTGGCATAAATCCATCCTGGCTCTTCTGAATTTCCACTTTTCCATGCCGATGCTTTTCAACAGTCTCTTCTCATACACAGTGACATCAGCTTAACCTGGTGATAATCAGCTCCCAGTGTAATATCGTCTTTTTTTTCACGGCACCACATAGCTTATATGACATTCATATGGCTTTTCCTCTTTCATAGGAATATAATTGAACAGATTTGTAAAATAATTTGATGCCTTGGGTCCTTTTTTGGCTCCATATAAGCCATGCTATCACCACTGAATCCACTGGCCTTTCCATTTTTTAAACTTTTTTTTTTTTTGGTGGATTCTTTAGCTTGAGGATTTCACTACCAAGTCTGCCTTTCGATCATGGTGTCATCACTCCTCAGACTTCAATTACTCTCCACACATCTCGGCACGGTCAGGAAGTTCCACGTTACTTCTGATTTCAAGGTTTTGTCATTCCCATCTGTAGGTTTCCACCACTGAGCCATTTTCTGTGCTCAGAAATCCAGCTGTTGCTGAGGGTTACTGATCTCCGGCGTGGTAAGTCTTGATGTGGCCTGAGGCAGAGCGATTGTGAGGTGCTTACGGTCACACACGCAGTCTGCAGCAGAGCCAGGAATTTAATCAAGTTTTCCTGAGTGCCACCGGCTGCTTTGCTTTAATCATCCTTGCTCTCTTTGAAGTGACGTGCTTCTAGTTCCTCAGATGAAAGGTACCACAGAAGTGTTATGCAGAGGAAGCCAGCTGTGCAGGGGGAGCAGGTGGGAGTCAGGGGCAATGGGGCAGAGTGGGGAAGTTGGGATGTCAGGGATAGGAGGGCACACGGGGAGTGAGGGGAACTGAGATTTGGCAGGGTCCGGGTGAGGTGCCTACCTGCGCCGTGGCCAAATCCTGGGTCCTGCTCTTGCATTCACCCTCTTGCACGTGCACATAGTTCACAAGGAATGATGCACAGGAGGGGCAATGTAAGTCCACTGTCCCTATAGAAGTGCCAAGTCTAGTAAGACCCGAGGCAGAAGCTACGTTAAATGATCTGACAGTTGGAAATGACACCAGAAGAGTTTTCCTGTGTGTGGATGCTGTAAACCTGGGTCCAGTTTTGTCTTGACCTCACCAGCGCAATCCCCGCTGACTTGGGTACAGTTTCCCAGGGAAGGGGTGGTCTCTGGCCCTTTTCTGCCCTCAGGTAACTCATGGGTTAGGGCCTGTCACACCCTGTTTACAACAAGCACTGTTTGTCTCATGCGTGGGAGTAAATGTCATATCCCAGTGCACAGCCTATTTATAGCACAGCTCTATTTGGGAAGTGAAACTTCTTAATGGCGAAGTTTTCAACTAGCTGCTTCAGGTTTCGGTTCAGTTGTTTCGATCTCCAGCATCGCTCATTGCACAGGGCACTGAAAAAGAGCTTCCTGGAGGAGTCCTGGAGGCAGCAGTCCGGAGGGCTACTGAACTGAGTGGCTGTGGGAGGGAAAGAAGGTAGAGAAAAGAGTTAAAGCTACAAGACTTGGTTTCTCTGAATGAAAATACGAACAGGTGGTGTCACGGGGCAGACTCACCAGCATGGCGCTTCCAGCTGGTTGCCTTGGGGAATTAGCTTGTTGTTTTGTTGGGCGCCTTCCTCCAGCTCAGTGGTCCCCAAACTTTTGGGGCTGCCAGGCACCCGGGGGCGGGGCCGCTCACGCACCGGGCGCCGGGCCACGCACACGCCTAGGAGCGAGGCTGCGCACACACTGCATGCTCAGTGCCGGTGCCACCCATGCGCCACACTCCCGGGGCCGGCGCCACTCCTGTGCCACACGCCCAGGGGTGGAGCTGCCTGTATGCCATGTGTTTGGGGCTGGTGCCACTCCTGTGCTGCATGCCCAGGAGCCGGCAGCGCCCATGTGCCGCGCACCTGGGGCCAGCGCTGATCCTGTGCCACGTGCCCGGGGCCGGCCCCGATCAGTCAGCGGGTGCACAGAAATGGCCCAGCGGGTGCCATGGTGCCCACAGGCACTGTGTTGGGGACCACTGCTCCAGATGGTATCTCCCCATGTCCTCCTTTAACCCCAGAGTCCTCTTCAGGACACTGCCCTCCGGCAGTGCCCCCTCCAGTCTCTCTGCACCCCCTTCGGGGGCGGGGGGGATGTTGTTTACTCCACTGCAGACTCCGGGGTCCTCCCTTCTCCCAGGGCACCCCCAGTTCTTCTCTAAGGGAACACCCCGTCCTCTGTACCCACCTTGCCTAGTGACCCACTGCCAGCCTTCATCTAGCCCCTGCCTCTGGGGCTGACTGCAGCCTGTCACGGCCACTCATCACTGGCAAAGGTGTGGACCTGCTGCCCCTCCCTGCCATGGCTGCTTCCCGCAGCCCCAGCAGCTTCAGGCCTTGCAGCCTTGGGGCTTACTAGGCCAGAGCCTCCCCAGCACGGCTCTACCTCCAGGAAGCCTCCTGCTTCCCTAGCAGTAAGGTCCCTCCTGCTCTCCAGCCAGAGCAGCCGTCAGTCCTCTCTCCCTCCCTCCAGGAGTCCTTCTTTATACAGCCCCCAGCTGGGCCCTCACTCTCAGCCCTCTCTTAGGGCTGGAGTTTTGCCCTTCAAGGGCCAGTGCAGGGCAAACAGCCTGTCACAGATGGAACTGCTGTCTGGAACAAACTAAGGGCCAAATTCCAACCTCAGTAAAACTGGTGTACGTCTGGCCCAACCCCCTGGAAATCAATGGAATTACTCAAGGGCCCATGAGGAGACTCTGACCATTAAGTTAGAGAAATGTAAGTCAACCAAGAGAATCATAGAAAACAATCAAGTCGGGTTGGGGGAAGAGGAAATAGGCATGTGACACTTCCGGGGTAGCCAGGGTTGTAAGACACATCGCCCCTACCTGCTTTTAGCATAAGGAAACCTCATCAATGGAGCTGGAACCCTTTTAATAGTGGGGGCCGGGCTGTCCTTGGGTTTTATGGGGCCCTACTCAATACTATTCAACTGGTGCCCCTATACCCAATAGCAGCTGGGCGGGTGGGGGGAGATGATTTCTCCTTTGAGTGGTATCCCTGTGGGTGCTCCACTCAGGTCTCAGTGCGTCCTCACTCCGCTGATCAGAGTTTTGCTCAGTAGTGCCTTTCCGCCCCGCGCCTGCGCAGTCCCCAACTCGTGCTGGTTTCGTCAGTTAGACGCGCGCGCGGTACGAGCCTCCCTCCATTCCTTTTCTACCGTCCTTGGCTGAAGACGGAGTCACAGCAGCACTCTCCTTTGTGACAGAAAATTGAAAAATAGCATGGTTAATTTACGTGTGAATAGTTTGAGTTGGGTTCTTTCTTTTATGCTAAAAATAAGCTTCCCTGTTTCTTTCCTCCCTACTCCATTTTTCTCCAAGTTCTGATTCCTCACATTCGTTCAACATGCCAGGCTCCCCGGCTTCAAGAAATGTGATTCATGTCGGGACTCAGTACCGGTTTCTGACGGACGCTCGTTCTGTATTAAATGCTTAGGCAAAAGCCACATAGCGCAAAAATGCCCGCATTGTCACAATATGTATGGCCAGAGCGAGAAAAGACCGTCAAATGAAGCTGAAGACTCTCCTATGGGACAAATCCCTCAGCCATCAGGGGATAAGTCCCCGGAGACACAGGCGCACTCAACGCCCCATGAGAGGGCTAGTTTATCACCCCACAGAGGCTCTTGAGTGCTGCGGGCTTCCCTGGCATTATCACTGTCAGCTACGTCCTAGGCCGCTCAGTGTCAACTTCCGGCACCGCAGAGAAGCAAAAAACGACCTCAGCTAAGAGAGCTGAGTCAGAACCAAAATGGCAAAACCCCTTTGGCACCTGCCAATGAGGTTGACCGACCGGTACTGGACATGCTGCCACCGCTGGCACCCACAGGCAACCCGGCACTGACAGCTGGAATAAAGAACACTCCAGCATTGGAGCATAAGAAGGCAGCTAACAAGACACGTCACGTAAAAAAAGCCCTGCCCTGGACACACCATCTCCAGTGGTGCAGAGAACAGCTTCACCATGCTCTCCAATATTACCTCACTCTAGCCCGCATAGACAAACTGCAGAAATTCTTTCTTACTCCCCCACGCCATTGTCACTGCAACCTGAACATGGCAGCGTGCAGGAAAGTAGATTTGCATTATGGCACTCATCAGCAATGGGATCAGTGGCTTCATGGCGCTCCACTCGACACCAATCCTTTCAACAACCTCCGTAACTTCCGTGGTTTAACCATCCATGGCTGTATCCACCACAACAGTTTCAACCTCAGTGGCCTCTGTGAGAGCCATGGCACCAATATCGCCCCTGCTCCTCCAATCGCCACCGCTCATGAGATACACCAGCCTCTACACCAGCGCATACAGCTACACAGTCTCTGGCCACCACAGCACATTCTTCACCGTCTCACCCCACTCCTTTGATAATAACTCAGGCGGATCCAGTAGATGACGAGAATTTACCTCAATCTAAATCAGAGAGCTCCTCACAGGCCCCACTGTCTTCTTCTCCAGACGAGGCTGTTTTCCAACCATTGTCCTCTCCACCTACAGACGACATGAAACAATTCCAGGAATTATTCCAACGAGTGGCTCAATCTTAGGACATCACACACCAAGAAGTGCAAGACAAACATACAAGCTACTCAAAGTACTCCAACTGGCTACATCCTCCAGGATAGCATTACCCATCAATGAGGCTATGTGTACCATTGGCCTGCTAAACCCAGGGTTGTGAGTTCAATCCCTGAGGAGGCCACTTAGGGATCTAGGGCAAATCTGTCAGGGATGGTACTTGGTCCTGCTGTGAGGGTGGGGGGCTGGACTTGATGACCTCTTAAGGTCCCTTCCAATTCTCTGAGATAGGTATATCTCCATATATTATTACTCTGGCAGAGGCTGGCCTCTATCCCTTCCACCAACTGGAGAGCGGATAGAAAGTACTTTGTCCTGGCGAAAGGGATTAATTGGTTGTGGACTCTTTTTATCACAGATCAAAACACCTTCAATGTAAGTCTGCACCTCAAGGCTGTGTCTACATTGGCCCCTATTCCGTAATAGGGATGCTAATGTAGCACTTGGGAATAGGCAAATCCGTGGGGGATTTAAATATCCCCCGCGGGATTTGCATTTTCATTGCTGCTGCTTTTTTCCGGCTTGTAGATAAGCCGGAGAAAAGTGCCAGTCTGGACGCGATCCTCCGGAAAATAAGCTCTTTTCCGGAGGATCTCTTATTCCCACTTTCCGCACTAGGCACAGGAAAGCGGCCATCTAGGGCAGGAGAGCTGCCAGCCTGGCCACCCAGGAGCAGGTTTGCATGAAAATCAAGGTGGTCCACTGAGACCCCCAACCCTGAGTCCTGAGCTTAGAATGGCCGTACTGGGTCAGACCATAGGTCCATCTAGCCCAGTAGCCTGTCTGCCGACATTGGCCAACACTAGGGACCCTGGAGGGGATGGACCGAAACAATAACCAAGCCATTTGTCTCGTGCCATCCATCTCCAGCCTTCCACAAACAGAGGCCAGGGACACCATTTCTGCCCCCTGGCTAATAGCACTCCATGGACCCAACCTCCATGACTTTATCTCACTTCTCTTTAAACTCTGTTCTAATTCTAGCCTTCACAGCCTCCTGCAGCAAGGAGTTCCACAGGTTGACTATTTGCTTTGTGAAGAACAACTTTCTGTTATTAGTTTGAAGCCTGCTACCCATTCATTTCATTTGGTGTCCTCTAGTCCTTCTATTATGGGAACTAATGAAGAACTTTTCTTTATGCACCCTCTCCACACCACTCATGCTTTTATAGACCTCTATAATATCCCCCCTCAGTCTCCTCTTTTCTAAGCTGAGAAGTCCCAGTCTCTTTAGCCTCCCTTCATATGGGACCTGTTCCAAACCCCTGATCATTTTAGTTGCCCTCCCCTCTCCCACCCTCTCTCTTCCCCTCTCCCACCTCCTTTTCCCAGTCTCCCCCAGTTTTGTTCAATAAAGAGAG